GAGCATCTCCACTGCTCGGTCCGTTACGCCAGCGACCGCCGAGTCTCCAGCGGCTCGGCCCTCTTCGCCAGCGGCCGCCGAGTCTTCAGCGGCTCGGCTTGTCACGCCGTCTTCGCCCGCGGCTCGGCCCGTCACGCCGTCTTCGCCTGCAGCTCGGGTCCACGACGCTGTCCTCACGTCGCCTTCATCCGCGGATCGGCCCGCGACATCGACCGCGCCACGGCCCACTATGCCGGGCTCGCCATCGGCCCGGTCTGTGACGCCGACGTCGCCAGCTGCTTCGTCTGCTCTGCCGGTTTCGCCGGTGGGCCGACCTTCTTCGCCGACCGAGCCCGAGGCTACTGTGTCTGGCTCCTCGTCACCGGCTGACTCGTCAACGTCGCCGCCCTCCAGGCCGTTGCAGGCTGCTCCGTCGACCTCGGTGGTTCCTGTGTCCCGACCACATACACGCAGTCGCAGTGGCATTTTCAAACCTAAGGAACGTAAGGATGGTACGGTTGCTTGGTTGGCTGCTTGTTTGGCTGCTGCTGTTGCGGATCCATCTTCTGAGCCTCGCTCATATCAGGCTGCCCTGCGCATTCCACATTGGCGAGAGGCTATGGAGCAGGAGTTTCATGCTCTCCTTCGTAACAAGACATGGACTCTCATTCCTCCCCCACCACGGGTAAATATTATTGACTCAAAATGGGTATTCAAAGTGAAGAAGCATTCGGATGGATCTATTGAGCGTTACAAAGCGCGACTTGTTGCTCGCGGTTTTCGGCAGCGCCATGGTCTTGACTATGAGGACACCTTCAGTCCTGTCGTCAAGCCTACCACTATTCGGCTTCTTCTCTCCATTGCTGTTTCTCGTGGTTGGTCACTTCGTCAACTTGATGTGCAGAATGCTTTTCTACATGGTTTTTTGGAGGAAGAGGTTTATATGAAACAGCCACCTGGTTTCTCTGATCCTGATCGTCCTGACTATATCTGTCGTCTCTCCAAAGCACTATATGGTTTGAAGCAAGCTCCTCGTGCCTGGCATGCCCGCCTTGCCTCTGCCCTTCGTGCTCATGGGTTTGTGCCGTCCACTGCTGACACTTCATTATTTCTTCTACAGAAGCCAGAAGTCACTATGTATCTTTTGGTATATGTCGATGATATTATCCTTGTCAGCTCTTCTCAGTATGCTGCTGATGCTCTTGTCTGCTCTCTTGGTGCTGATTTTGCGGTCAAAGATCTTGGGAAGCTTCACTACTTTCTTGGAGTTGAGGTCACTTCTCGTGCTACTAGTCTTGTCCTTACGCAGAAGAAGTACTCCTTGGAGTTGTTACAAAGAGCGGGCATGCTGAAGTGCAAACCGACCACCACACCCATGTCGTCTACTGACAAGATAGCAGCTGTTGATGGTGAGCTTTTGTCTCCTGCGGATGCCACAGAGTACAGGAGCATTGTTGGTGGACTTCAGTACTTGACGATCACGAGACCAGATATCTCTTATGCTGTTAACAGGGTTTGTCAGTATCTTCAGGCTCCCAGAGATACTCATTGGGCTGCTGTTAAACGCATTCTTCGTTATGTTTAGTTCACCCTGACATTTGGTATGCATATTCGACCGACTTCCTCTCGGGTCCTTTCGGCCTTCTCTGATGCAGATTGGGCTGGTAGCCCAGATGACAGGCGATCCACGGGGGGTTATGCAGTATTCTTTGGCCCTAATTTGATCGCCTGGAGTGCTCGGAAACAGGCTACTGTGTCACGTAGCAGTACTGAAGCTGAGTACAAGGCTGTGGCTAATGCTACTGCAGAGATTATTTGGGTGCAGTCTTTGCTTCAGGAGTTGGGTTTGTCTCAACCACAGCCTCCTATTCTTTGGTGTGATAACATCGGTGCTACATACCTTTCTGCAAATCTAGTATTTCATGCCCGAACGAAACACATTGAAGTTTACTATCACTTTGTACGGGAACGTGTATCACAGAAGCAACTCCAGATCAAGTTTATCTCATCTAAGGATCAACTTGCAGACATCTTCACTAAGCCTTTACCACTGCCACAGTTTGAGGCTGGTAGGCGTAATCTTACCCTTCTCAGTTCTTTAGAAAGTGGCTAAGATTGAGGGAGGGTGTTAGACTATGTATAGCTTCTGTACATATGTACGTATTGTAATAGAACCATTATATATAATGAGATAAGCCACCCCTAGAGGGTTGTGCTGGTTCCCAAAACTTATTGTCTTACACTGACGCACTGCGGCCGGAACTCGCTCATCGAAGGGCTTCTGTTCGGGCACCCTCTCGTCATGCTGCCCATCTTCAGGGACCAGGGCCCGAATGCCCGCCAAATGGAGGCGAAGAAGGTAGGGTTGCAGGTGGCGAGGGACGACGACGACGGGTCGTTCGACCGCCATGGCGTTGCGGCCGCGGTCCGGACCGTCATGCTGGATGGAGAAGCCAGGAGGGGATTTGTGGCGGGTGCCCTCAAGATGCAGGCGATCGTGGCCGACAAGGAACGCCATGAGAGATACATCGACGAATTTGTTCAACAACTCAGATCGTATCTGCCAACTGACGATCTCACTACTGCCACCCCCAACTCCAGCTGAGACTGAGAGAGCCTGCACAAATAAGATGTGAGTACGCCAGGATTAGGTGCCTCCGAAATTGTGTTGAATATTTCTCGGGTGCGTCGACGAGTTGTCCATAACAGTACAGTTAGGGCATCTGACCCGGTAACCCTCCATCCGGACGTGTTTGTCATTCAACGTTGTCATGCATCGATCCGTTTCGCAGTCTGGACAACCTTTTTCCTAAGGTGACGGGTGTCCGGTTTGTTGCCACTCCCGTGTCTGACTAATTTGCCTTATCAAAATACTTTTTTTGCATCTACACATGTTTCCGTCCGAAAAGGTCAACGCCTTTCCAGAGCACTAGTGTCGCATTCTTGTTGGCTCAGAACAACGCGACCTTCCATAGCGCCCCGACATTGAAACGGTACGCTGGCCAAGAGTGCCGCCCTCGCCGCTTCCCCGCACATGCGGCTGCCCAATGTTCGAACAACAGCTTGTCTGTCCGCCTACCGGCATTAAACATGTGTGCGATTGCCGATGAACGGTGAGTCGGTGCCAACCATCTGTTCGTATGCTGCCCATCACTAATCACGTCACCAGTTGCTCTGCCATCCTCCCGCTATATAAACCACGGACCCAGCCATAACCGCATTTATCATCCTCCACTTCCTTCATCCTCTCTGCACAACGCCCGTCATAGCCTCCTCGAGCTCCAAATCAAAGCTGTCTGGGACAACCTCTCGTCCAAGCAGAAATAGGAGATCGCCGCCATTGCAAGCCGACATGCAAGCGGAAGCGCGTTGCAGACATCCCAATGGAGGACGCGACCAAGGACGAGTCGGTGCCACCCCCCTCGCCGGTCACTGTCGGCATCACCATGGGCGAGGCCGTGCTCACTATGTGGACATGGTGCTAGAGGAGCAGGAGGCAGTGTTCTGGTAGGCGCAAGCCGACCAGGTCTACAACCTCCGCCTCCACGATGAGCACCGATACAGAGGAGTTACGCAAGGCCGACATAGCCATTGCGCCGGACAATGACGTGCCTGAGCAGGAGGCACTGCTCAAGTCCTATCGCTCCGCCAGCGAGATCCGCCGCAACCGCTGGCGGTACCGCTAACTTCAGGCGGAGTTAGAAGCCGTATACATGGGGTTCGGCGAGGCGGCGGATGAGGTGTTCGACAAGAGTGAGGACGAAGACAAGCAAGCCAGCTCGGCTGCGCCCCGCCGCCATGACCACGAAGTCGGCGCATCCGTAAGCACTGTCGGCAGCGAGGAAGAGTAGCACATGGGAGGTCGCCGACGCTTGTATCTCATGAAAGCCATCGCTCCTCCCCTCCCGTTGAAGCCAAGCTTGATGGGCTCAACATTGTCGGTCGATTACTGCCAAGCGACTAATGCGGTTAGCTTTGGATGGCCAGCTCCCGCATTCGTGCCTGTGGACCGGCCTCCCTGTCCGTCGAGAAATGCGGTGTCTGGTTTGGGATCGGCGTCGGAGAGGCCCTTAGATGCATCAAAGCACACAATCAATATCAACATCAACACATACACAAATAACAAACCAACAAATAGCAAAGTCCTATAAAACCAAAGCTATGTGTAAACGAGAGAGAAAACAAGAAAAAATGACCAAATCTGCGATTGAAATCTATGCGATAACCAGATGCGCATCAATCATCTTATGACATTACACGGACGACAAACTTCTTCCACATCAACGCCTTGAGGAAGGCGGCATCACCGGATCCAACCACTCAATGCGAAAAACTAGATTTTCACCACAAAAACCCAATACAAGCATATCCGATCAACGCCTTGAATAAGGTAACGACAAAAAAAAAACATCAACATTGCAGGAGCTTGAGACCTAAGCTTTCACGAAGGAGCTCGAGACCACGATGTTTGATATCATTAAAGCTTCTCTCGTACTTAATTTTCTGCCAATAAAAAGAAGCGGCAGAATTGAATGCACTTTGCATTACCTTCTATTAATTTCTTTTGACTTAATTAGATAAAAAAGCTTAAATATACACATTGTAAGATCCCTGATACAAGTACAACTAAAGAATCCTGATAAAGTTGACTTCATCAGTACAACACGTAAACGATGTCATTCGCAGCATCACTGCAAAACATTGGCTATGTACCTCGAACGAGATTGCCGGGATGGGCGCGCGGATGGCAATGAAGCTAAGTTTATTTATTGGAAAACCCCTAGAAGGAGAGTGGCGACTGCGTCAAAGTCGTGGATCATTTTCACGTCGTCACAATCACAACTCACAAGCAGTTTCTCTGAGGATCAAAAGAAAATCGCAACGCACTTGAATACGCGCGCGCGCGCACGAGTCGGTCCAATGCTTCCAAGGGATCGAGCAGCACTGTGATTGGCCAACGTACTACGTGTTCTAAGTGAGCCGTGCGTGTATGCATGCATGCAAGACGCGTCGGACGCGGATCAGAAGCAGCCGTCCATGCTCATGTCCGAGTCGGCGATGATCTCGCCCACGCCCTCGCCGAGGCCCATCATCATCCCGCCGACCGCCGCGCCGAGGAGCCCCATCCCGAACCCGGAGCCCATCCCGACGCCTCCGTCTTGCCTGGCCGCCGCGGCGGACGGCGCGCCGTACCCGTAGGGAGCGGCCGCGGCGGGGCCGTAGCCGTACGACGCCCCCGCGTACCCGTACGGTGGATTGTAGCCGTACGGCGGCACGGCGTGCTGCTGGTGGTGGTACGGCGGGTACGCGGTCACCGGGTCGGCGCCGGCCTTGGCCGCCGCGTTCGTCTGCATGTACTGCGCGTCGCCCGGCGCCGCCGCCGTGGGGGCAGGCGCGTCGGAGAGGCTGTAGGAGATGTGGAGCACGCCGCGCTTCCGGCCGCTCATCGGGCTGCGCACCTGGTAGCTGAGGTGCCGATGCTCGCCGGCGGGCGGCGCCACGGCGACGAGGTCCTGCACTGGCACCACCACCTCGCCGACGTCGCGGTCACCGAAGGAGCGCTCGGCGCGGAGGAGCACGTGCAGCGCCAGCCCCCGCGGGTCGGCGGCGGTCGGGATGGGGAACCGCAGCGGCGCGTGCCACATGGGGTTCCGGCCGCCGTGCCGGTCCGAGTGCGTCCTGTGCGTCGGCGTCCTTGGGTCGCCGCCGGAGATGGACACCACCGCGTACACGCGCATCTTGGAGAACATCGTCACCTTCTTCAGGTCCTTGGCCGAGATCAGCGTCACCTCCAGCACCCGGTACGCCATGATCGCGCCGCTCGCTCGCAGGAGCCCGTTGTGATCGCTCGGTCGATATGTCGGTGTGTGATCGGGAGACGATGATTTGTGGAAGACGATGGACGGATGGAGGAGCAAGCTATGATGATTTTCAATGGTAAGTAGATCTTGGAGGCTACGAATGATCCAAGGGAGATGGCTAGTGACGGTTTGGGTCGTAAGGTTGCAATGTTTGGTCTGGTGGTTAGTTTAGTGGGTAATTTTGTGCAAAAGTTTTAGGTCTTTTTGCTGGAAGACCTAATAATAGCATGGGTTGTGTTAATTTAAGCTTTTGCTGATTGTGTGGTGACCCGTTCATGTCGGTAGCTTAACAACAATGGTATTTTTGGTCCAAGTTTTTTTAAGGAACACCATCATGGCTATTTTATTTTATTTTTTTGCGCGAAAACTTCCAATCTATTCATCTTCAATCATGACAGTACAACGAACACCAGAAATAAGAATTACATCCAGATCCGTAAACGACCTAGCGACAACTACAAGCACCGAAGCGAGCCGAAGGCGCGCCGCCGTCATCGCCGAAGCTGAGCACAACTTGTTGTAGTAGACAGTCAGGAAGTCGTCGTGCTAAGGCCCCATAGGACCAGCACCTCAGAACAGCAACCGCCGCTGATGAAAAATAACGTAGATCGGAAGTATCTAAACCGAAGACACACGAATGTAGACGAACAAAAACGAGATCCGAGCAAATCCACCAAAGATAGATCTGCTGGAGACACACCTCCACACGCCCACCAATGATGCTAGATGCACCGCCTAAACGGGGGCTAGGAGGGGAGACCTTTATTCCATCTTTAGGAGCCGCCACCGTCTCACCTTCCTGAGTAGGACACAAACCCTAACAAGATTAAAAAAAGGACAAAAAACAGAGCCCTCCGGCCCTTGCCAGGATCCACCGCGCCTCCATGGCCCTAGGCCCACCGGAGACGAGGCGGACCTGCGCCGGAGCCGGCGAGAGGCACAAACCCTAACTTTCTTTCTTAGAGGAGGAGGAGGAGGCGGAACCCTGGCTCTAGATACGTATCATGGCTACTTTATTGACCTCAAATAACACTTAGAGAGTTAAAAATAAAATCAGGATGTCCATCCATCCAGTTACAAGAAATCGTACTCTCAAAACAAAATCTAGCAATCTCTTGAGCGGTATGATTTTTGCTTCACGTAAACAATGTTTAAAATGAACGTTTCCAATCTCCACAAATAGATCCATACAATTCGCATATATTGCCGCAGCTTCTGTCCATCAATAGTTTGTTCATGTGGGTGCATTAACAACTTTCAAGGAGTTTGATTCTGCAATGATCTGGTGCAAACCGAGCGAATGCTGCCAAACTAAAACCATGTTTCATAGCTCTCCAGGTTGTGATGGGAGGAAAAGTATCACCATGAGTTGCATGTCTGCAAACCCACCATAAATACAACAAGAGGTGGCAATTCCCTCGGCAACACCCACTTGCTGAAGATGGGTATGACTATCTCACATCTAAGTTGTGACATCAGCCAGTGCTCTTCATAGGAATCAAACTCGGCACCTGGCACTGAGGAACGCCAGCTCCTAACACTCCAGCTGATGACTGCTATTGACCTATTGTCATTTACAAAGCGATAAATTTAAATAACGTAATACAACATCAATATTAGAAGACATTTTTGATTTTTGAAAAAAAATCTCATTTTTTGCAAATTGTGAACAAATTAAAAATGTTGATTATATTTGAAAACCCAAGTAATTTAAATTTTTGGAAAAAATCAAATAGGAATACAATTTTTAATTCCAAACATTTTTTGAAAAATAAGAACAAAATTTTGTATTCCAAACAATTTCTTCACAAATAAAATTTGAAAACATGAACAATTTTTGAAAAACCCCAAACAGTTTCTAAAGTGTGGACACATTTGAAAATTCCGAACAGTTTTTGAAAAACACGAATAAATTTAATAGTGCACGTCCCACAACGACCGTCCCGTGCGGCGGGCTCGTGCGCGCTGTGACTCTGGCGCGTCGCTATCAAACAACAGTAGGACACAGTGAAGACAAATACAGAACGCTACAATATCTTTACATTCTGGCGATGCACTCTTTTGCTATAGTTGCCATGAATGCGGGTGCTTCGCAGCACTACAGTACCTTGCATGTTGGTGTAATGGGACTAGTGCATGCATCGAGTGATTAAAGTACTGACCTGTTAGCTACTCGACGGTGGGGCATTGCTAAATCATTTAAAAAAAATCATGGATTTAAAAAAATAAAGAAGGAAAAAAATGTTAATCATGTATGTCAAAAAGTTAAACATGTATATACAATATGTTTTTAATGTATACAAAAAATGTTAAATGTGTATTGCAACACCCGCAAAAAAAGAATGTGTATTACAAAAGTTCACATGTGTTGAAAAAAAGGAACCGATGAAAATCGACAAAAGAACAAAGAAAAATGAAGAAACCCAATAAAACCCAAAAAAGGAAAACCAAAGAAAACAAAAAAAAAGAAAATGAAAACTGAAGAAAACCTATGAAAAAGAATGGAACAATGAAAACCAAGAAATAAATAAAGGAAAACAAAAAACCCGATAAAAATCAAGAAAGAAACAATGAAACCCGAAAAAAAAAAGGAACCAACGCAAAAAATGGAAGCGGTAAAGCCCAAGAAAGAAAAAAAGGAAACCAAGAAAGAAACAAAGAAAAGGAGAATAAAAGAACAACCAGTGAAAACTAAAAAAGTAAACAAATATAACAATTAAGTTATAATAATAATTAAAGAAATCATATATTGAAAACATTTGTTACAAATTGAACAAAAATAAATTAAAAAGAAAAATAAAAGGTCGAGCCCTAGTTGAGAGAAGGTGGGATTGTAATTGGGAGAAAAAATGGCCAAGCCCTAGTTACGAGTTGAGCGTGAGATTGCAACTAGGACAAAAAAAGGCCGGACCCCAGTTGCGAGTCAAGAGTGGACATGCAACTGGAAGAAAAATTCCGAGGGCCTAGTTGCGGGTCGACGATTGACTTGCAACTTGGAAAAAAACTGGTTCAATTGCGAGTCAATGGTGGAACTGCAACTAGGGCAAAACAAACCTTAGGGCCTAGTTGCGAGTCGAGGGTGGACTTGCAACTAGAAAAAAAAGAGTTTGGTCCAGTTGCGAGTCGACGGTGGACTTGCAACTAGGACAAAACAATTCTCAGGGCCCAATTGTGAGTAGAGGATGACTTGCAACTAGGGAAAAAGGTTTGGTTCAGTTGCGAGTCGATGGTGGACTTGCAACTGAGACAAAAGAAGTTTGGGCCCTAGTTGCGAGTCGAGTGTAGGATTGCAACTGAGACAAAAAAGGTCTGGCCCCAGTTGCGAGTCGAGTGTGGACTTGCAACTGGAAAAAAACATCGTGCCCCAGTTGGGTGCCGAGGGTGGATTTGCAATTGTGACAAAGAAAGACCGGGCTCCAGTTGCGAGTCGAGGATGAACTTGCAACTGGGACTAAAATATGTTGGGCTGTAGTTGCGAGTCGTGGGTGGACTTGTAACTGGAACAAAAAAAAGTTACGGACCCCAGTTGCTAGTTGAGGGTGGACTTACAAATGACACACACACACAAAATGGTGAGGTCTAGGTTGCGAGTTAATGGTGTGATTTCAACTAGGACAAAAAGAATGATTGGACCCCAGTTACAAGTTGAGAGTGGACTTGCAACTGAAACAAAAAACCCTTGTTTGGTGGTGGATAGTCAACTAAGAGCGATGAGGAAAATTCATGGGTTTTTAGAAAATAAAAAATAAAAAATGGAAAAGAGAAAAAAATAAAAATAAGAAATGAATGAATTGAAAAACTTTACAAATTTGAACCACACAAATGAAAAAAGAAAGCAAAAGGTAAAAAGAAAATAAGAAAAGAAGATTGGTTCGGTTGCGAGTCCATGGTGGAATTGCAAATAGGACAAAAATTTGTCACGGCCCAGTTGCGAGTCGAGGGTGGACTTACAACTAGAAAAAAAGTTTGGTTCAGTTGCGAGTCGACGGTGGACTTGCACCTGCTACTTCTTGAGCTTGTATTGATTTTTCCCTTGAAGAGGAAAGGATGATGCAGCAAAGTAGAGATAAGTATTTCCCTTAGTTAATAACCAAGGTATCAATCCAGTAGGAGGCACAAGCAAGTCCCCAATATATGCACCTGCACAAATTAACAAACACTTGCACTCCCCGCGAAAAAGGGGTTGTCAATTCCTCCACGGTCACTTGCAAGAGTGAGATCTAATAGAGATAGATATAAAAGATAAGTAAAAGGCAAAATAAAGTAAATATAAATAAATTGCAGCAAGTTATTTTTGGGTTTTTGGTTTTATAGATATGAAAATACATGATGGAAAATAGACCCGGGGGGGCATAGGTTTCACTAGAGGCTTCTCTCTTGAAGAAAGCATACGGTGGGTAAACAAATTACTGTTGAGCAATTGATAGAAAGCGCAAATTTATGGCGATATTTAAGGCAATGATCATGAATATAGGCATCATGTCCGTGACAAGTAGATCGAAACAATTTTGTATTTACTACTATTACTCCACACATCGACCGCTATCCAGCATGCATTTAGAGTATTAAGTTCATAAGAACGGAGTAACGCCTTAAGCAAGATGACATGATGTAGAGGGATAGATCCAATCAATATGGTAAAACCCCCATCTTTTTATCCTTAATGGAAACAATACAATACGTGCCTTGTTACCCCTACTGTCACTGGGTGAGGACACCACAAGATTGAACCCATCACAAAGCACCTCTCCCATTGCAAGAAAAACCAATCTAGTAGGTCAAACCAAATCGATAGATCAGAGAGAAATACAAATCTATCTTAATCATGCATAAAAAAGTGCAAAAAAAGACTCAAATAATATTCATAGATAATCTAATCATAAATCCACAATTCATCGGATCTCAACAAACGTACCGCAAAAGAAGATTACATCGAATAGATCTCCAAGAACATCGAGGAGAACATTGTATTGAAGATCAAAG